CATCATGCTGGAGAATCATTCTTTGTTGTTGTTGCAGAAGAACATCATCTAAGTGTTGGTGAAATCTCCCACAAAAAATTGAGGAACTGAGCACCACCTGAACGAGTTTCGTAGAAATAAGGCGCAATTTATTTATTCCCGTGAAGTCCACACCAAAATTTGTTATTGTGAATCATCTGATGATTAGTACGAAATTTTCGGGTTTTCCTCTGCCATTGTTTGAAAATTCCAAATGATTAGTATGCCATTAGGGGTGAACTTGGATTCATCAGTCATAGTATGTATGGAAAAAAGTTTTCTTTAGCCCCCAAATCGACCAAGGAATGTTAGATTTCTGTCATAATCAGAGTCCCGAAGTCCCTGGACAAGATGAGAACGATACGGCATAAAAAGATTTAGAATTAGACTTCGAGACTCTGATTATGACAGGCATCTAACATTCTTTGGACGATTGTCGATTTGGGGGCTAAAGAAAACTTTCTTCCATGCATCCTATGACCTGATGAATCCAAGTTCACCTCCGCCGGTATTAGTCGTTTTTATTCTGCAAGCTGCCACTTCGTATACAGGCATATTAGCAACTGTCGGAGTGTTTTAAATTCGGTTAAAAAACTATACCGCACGTTATTAATTTTGATAAACAAATTTAATGTGTTTAACGTGCATTAAAAAAGTGTTATGAAAATAGTCACTACCTTTTCAAAACACTCTGTCTTATGGCTAATTATTTTATTTACTCGTTTTACTCTATTGCTCTATTGCATTTACTATATTCAAGCAATCGTGATATTTGACTCATTTTTGAAGAAATATTGTATAAATAACAGAACGTTAATATCAATGTCTTAGCAAACAGACAAACTTACTGCTAACAATCTTTCAAAAGGTACAAAAGCTTTTTTGCTATAAGAGAACAGATCAGGAATTTTGTTTACGAAATACGATAATCCAAAATTTACATATTTCAAGCAGTTAACAACTTATTTTCTTAAGACTAACAAATCTTGCTATATGAGAAATCGTCAATCATATGGTGAACTCAAATAATACACATGTTTGTTTTGTATTTAACATAATTTGGTAATCGTTACATTGTAAAATTACGACAGAAGCTTCAAAACAACAATATGCCTATCAGTGTGTTAGGATACAGTTATGAAGAGTACAAGCGTAAACGGGCTGCTATGAGGCGGACGACATCGGCCGAGGTAGAGCCATTACCCTATTTCGTCAAAATATTAGCAGTGTTTGCATGTTGTACGGAGGTAATAATCCGATTTATGTATCGTTTTATGCTCGGTTTTGAAATCTTGACGTTGAAAGTGTCTCACCACACTGTCCTCTTGAGAAATTGCTACTGGGATTTAACCTATGGTATTATAACATTGATTTTAGCATGGATAACTGATTCGCACGTCGGGAAACAGCCAGTCATATTCTGCGGTTTTAGCATTGTCATAATCGGCATTTACTTAATGGCTCTGACGTTTGCTCTTATCGGCGTTCTCGGAAACCAATCTATCTTACTGACCGTGATATACTACATGGGGAAAATGCTCATCTATACCGCTTTTGCCATACACCCGGTCAGCATTGTATTTGTGCTTGATCAGTACGAAATAACTCACGACGTCAAGTTTGTGGAATTCTTGTGCATCCATTTAGTCATTGCCAGAAACGTAGGTGAAATTTTCTTTGGCTTTTGTAAATTTATGATGCAAAGAAATTCATATTATCCACAAATATTCATGACAATGTTTGCAATTTCACTCACACTTTTCCTCTTTTCGCTTTTCTCTTTCAAGTCTAAACTTATACATCACCATTTCAAAGAAAGGTCCATCGAATCCATGATTGAATGCTTTATGACTTACGGTTACCTCACTGAGAACAAACTCCGAGGGAACAGAAGTAAACTCGTAAGAGTGAGGGCTGCATCAATACACCACATTTCTGGTGGGATCAGTTTTCGGATACCTTCAATTGACGCATTCGACGTGATCGAGTATATTCTTACTCACGAAGTGATAGAACGCATAAGCCATGTTGTGCATCTTCTTATATTCCTATCGCCTTTTATTGGGTATTTTTTCATTGTAAAAATGATTTACATCAGTTGGATAACCGAGGGGCCAGGATTATCACCATGGAATTTTACGATGTCTTCTTGTGCAATTGACATGTCCATCTCCGCTTTGTCCTTAATCACAATTTTAGTCTTCGAATACATCTTGGTTCCGTCGTTGTTTACAAAAGACTCCTATTACAAAATGGCCATTAAATATTTTTCAATAGGATATGTTCTGATTGGTGCATCCCTCATGACTGCCGCTGGTATTCAAATTTTGACTCACAGCCAACAGTCTTTCGTAGACGTGGGCACTTTGAAAATACACAATGCATTGAACGTTTCGAGTACAATAGATTCCCAATTCACCGGCTCGTTAACTTTCAGCCCAGAAGGAACGCAATACGTGAAAAACATTGATGTGGACGATGAGTATGGCGTATGTCGCGGAATAATTTATAACTCACGACTCTCATGGCATTTGGGGTTATCATTTCAGTCTTTGGTCGTGAAGAAAAACGACGTTGTCATTTATGTGATCAGGACCGACGGTGATCTTGTCAGGGTGGATGATTTCGAACCAGAGTTTAACTTTAACAAAAAACATTCCATGACCCAATTGCTTTTCATTAACGCCCTGTCTGGTTCACAAGAAGTAGAGCTTCTCTTCGAAGGGCATTCGACGAGAGGTAAACCGATTTCACGTACAATCAAAATGCCAAAAATTACAAAGCAAAAACTGTATTTCTTGGAATCGGGAACGTATCGTGTATCTTCGGAGTTGTACAAGGACATTTATATGTTTTATTTCAAGCCGAAATCGTACAGCCACATCATTTCCGGGGACACCATCATTAAATACGACGTCGATCTTCCTACTCGGGTTGATCCCATCTGGGACCTTCCGTCGATGACACTTTATGGCATGTCCACATCAATCGTTCTCATTTACTACTTACGGTTTATTTTTATACAATCACCGCCCTCAATTAGAGTTTTTTGTTTGGCGTTGTTGTCCTTCGATCTCCACATCGTCAACGCCATTGTCGCTGTTTATTGGACCTACAGAAAACTCAATTTGTTTAAAAAAGATTATTTTATCGTTGGCGGATGTTATTTGATTGACCTGGTTTTACTTGGAGTTGTAATTCTTTCTGTAACATTGAATAAACCTTATGTGGGAACAACTGTTTCAAGATAACGTTTTTGTTTTGTTTTTTAAACTTTAAAATTTTTCGCAGGCTTCAATATATCAATTTTGAAGAAATTATTTATGATTATATATATGTAGTTAGGAGAACGAAAAGGTTTGATCGTAAAATATAAACTAATAAAAGGACTATTCAAAACTCAGTACGTTTTGAATTGAATATACTAATAACTGTCATAAATAATTAAAAAAAAGAAAAGCAAATAATTTGAAGTGAAGTCCTATTGTTGTTCAAATGAAAAACGCCAAATTTTCCTAATGGTGCATACAAACTCTTAAATGGCTTCCTTATAAGTATTAATTGTATAACGTTATGATTAACTTATTTATATAGTTGGAAACCATTATTTCTTTCAAGAATCGGAACTGGGAACTCAGAAATTCGCTGCTGTGCTGAAAAACGGTTCTAATATTGGGTGGAGTATTGGTTCAGATTAAAAAGTCAGTGTCACGAGCGGGATTCGAACTCACGACCCTCGGCTAAATACGCCGCTGCTCTACTACTTCAGCTATCGTGACTCGGATCCGCTCGGACACCAACTGAACCCCACCTTTTAATTTTTCCCTCCTTTTTGCCATTTTTCAAATGTCGAGTAGTCTATTTGATTCTTGGCGACAAAAGCGAGAGAAAATTCTAGAGGTGAGGTTGAGATGGGAAGTTAGTGTCCGAGCGGATCGAAGTCACGATAGCTCGCTCAAATGGTAAAGCAGCGGCGTATTTAGCGGAAGATCATGGGGTCGAATCCCGCTCGTGACACTGACTTTTTTTATCTCAACCAATACTTTTCATAACGATTAGTTAATTGAAAGAAGTTAATTGGTCAATCGGACCACGAACTGTAATGGACTGGGTGGGGTGCTTACTTGTTTCCTTTATGGAACCAAGCAAACTGTGCGAACACATGTAACTTCAACCACCCGTTCTCAGCATGCCAAGTAGATCAAAGTTTTGGGCAAAAGTAGATGACAGAACAATGTGTAAACTGTATTTGGCTTATCACGAATCGCCTATCTTCCTCGGCTCAGTTCCCCCGGAGCCACCCATCGGTCTGTGGTACTCCTGACTCCATAATACTTATTGTGGTCAAGCAATAGAATTACAAACGATGAAAAATAAAAGTTACCAAACTACGATGGAAAAATAAACGTAAAATGAGCTCTAAAACTATCTTAATGTAACTTATGGGTTTATATTCAAAATGTTCTATTGTGTATCATCTCGGTGTTACGTACATATTACACTAGTTTCAAATTTTTACCTTTTTTTGTAAAAACATTATACCGTGTTTCTTAGGCCCAGTTCAACCTCAACATCTCAAATACGATCCGATACATCCTGATACCTTGTTCGAAAGAAATTTTTATGCTGAAAACAATGGTTTAATCGGATTTTAAATTGTTCAAAAAATGGCAAAGTTAAGGCAAAATGTTAGAAAAAACGCATTTTGTTTGATAAGTTGTTAATTGCAATAATTTGCTTTTTCAGTAAAGTAAACATTAATTACCTTTATTATTTACATTCTGTCTTCGTTTGCCAAACTCGCATTATGAGAGTAAATTTGTTTCGAATTAATTAATTTCGACGAGGAGCTCACTATTTTACAGTATGTGGGCGAAAATCCGAATTCCTTTCTCGGAAATGTTGGTTTTAGGTTTTTCAAAAAACAAAAAAAGCGATGTACTCCAGACTTACAATTTTAAGCTGTATCTTCTTATGTATCATCTTATCCAGGGACTCTGATTATGACATGCAGGTAACGTTCTTTGGACAATTTTCGATTTGGGAGGTTGAAGAAAACGTTTTTCCATACAACCTATGGACTGATGAATGCAAGTTCACGTCTAATGAAATAGTAATCCTTTGGAATTTTTGAACGTGTACAGAGGAAAATCCGAGAATTTTGTATTCTTGTCACTATCAGGTGGTTCAAAGTATCAAAGCTTGGTATGAACTTCTCCGAAATAATTTAATTGGGCTTTATTTATACGAAAATAATTTAAATGGTGTTCACTTCAATTTTTTGGGAGAGGTTTAACCAACATTGTTACATGATGTTACTGTGCAACAACTACAAAAAACGATTCTCCAGTTTGATGGATCACCCGCAAACAATTCTTTGCAGCTAAGACTTTATTTGAATCGTCACTTCGGGCATAGGTGGATAGGATATCGTGGCCGGATCTGTTGGTATCCTCGGTCACACGATTTAACCGCGCTTGATTATTTTCTACGGGTCATTTAAAACACTGTGTCTTCGCAACCTCAGTTGAAGAACTGCGGCAAGGGTAGAAAATGCTTCTCCCCTGACCGGTGAAGATTGGCTAAAAGGCGCAAATCTTTACGTCTTTAGGCAAGGCAGGCAGTTTGAACTTGAAATACCAAATAATGAAAGTCGTATTCCCAATTTTGAATTTGAACTTGCTTTGAGGTACCCTTTATAATTTTTCTCCAAAAAAGGTAAAAATTGGAAACTAGATTAACACTATAAAACACGTATTTTTTAACGACATTTGTTCAAAAGAAATCCAGCCGGACTATCTACAACGGACACCCATATATAACGAAGAAGGTAAATAATATTTGCGAAAGTAAGTGGGTGATTTGTAGTATTTTTAAGTTCTTATATTTTCTACTTTTATGAAACCAAATATTCACGTGTAACAATTTCGAAATAGATTCTTTTTAAACCAGATAAACACACGGCGATATATATATTCATTTGAAATAATGGAATTACATTAGTAGAAGTCGGTGGAGCCCGTTTGTTTTCATCTCACCTGATTTTCCCTCGGCCTCTGGGGTTTTTGTTGTAACGCCTGAGCAGAACAAACTTTCCTTGACAAACAAGTTTCTCGGAAAATGGCTAATTAGTCATGCGGAACGGTGTTTGCAAATTATTATTATTGACACGATATCCTGTCTATCTACAAATAAGAATTTTCCGAACCAATATTGACCCCTCTGGTAACCAACGACTCGCTCCCTGGCTAACTCCTGATTTAATTAAGTAACTGTTAATTGCGCCTTTTGGTATATTTTACGAATCAATATTCAACAATGTACGAGCCAAAATATCAGTTAATCACTGATGTAGTTTAATCTGAAAGCAATAAAATATGCAAAGCGTGTTTATTAAAAAAAAAAAAAAAATTGGATTCATTAGATTTCGTGGCCCGATTGACCAAATAATATCTTTCAATTAATTAATCTATCGTATTGTTTGAGATAAAAAAGTCAGTGTCAGGAGCGGGATTCGAACCCACCACCTACGGCTAAATACGCCACTGCTCTACCCCTTGAGCTGTCGTGACTTCGTTCCGCTCGGACACTTAACTTCCCATCTCAACTCAACCTTTCGAACTGAAAAATGGCAAAAAATGGCAAATGTTCGAACGGTTGTAGGTTGAGATGGAGAGTCGGTGTCCGAGTGATGGATGTCAGGATAGCTCAAGTGGTAGAGCAGGGGCGTATTTAGCCGAAGGTCATGGATTCGAATCTCGCTCGTGACACTGTCTTTTTTATCTCAACCAACACCTAAGATAAAGATTAATTAATTGAAAAAATAGGGTTCAGAAATCATTTAAATTGATTAAAACAATGAAATATAATTACTAAATTTATAATATAGTTTTCGAAAATTGAGATTTCTTTTTTTTTTACAATAAATAATGCAGATGTTGCCTATTTAAAACATCTGCTAGAATTTCAAGAATTAACAGCGGTTTTAATAAATGATTTTATAACTAGACATATTTATTGCTTGGTGCATGTAAAAAATAAATTATTTTAATATTAATGAAAATATTTTTCTACAATATAATTGTTAGCCAGTTGCTGAGCCAGTACGGAGATTTAAAAATATATTCCCTCGTGATTGGCGAGGATCTGCTCGGAAAGCAGTTTTCCGGATAAGAATTCCCCCAGGCTTAAAAGGATAGGATTTATCTTTTAGTCCAAATCCTCTCTTTGATTTTTATTTAAAAGGTAAGATGGTTTTAAAATATTTCTTCCGACACGTTAAAATTATTTGAAACATGATGACAACTTCACTTCGATGGTAGGGGAACAAATCACGTTATTTCTGAAAATAAGAGTGCACCATATAAACGAGGATGATTTAGTGCGTGAAAAGTTTCACCGGTTGGGGTGAATCTCTTCAGGTTTATTAAAGTTTATCCTTATTACCCCGTTATTAAAATTAAGCATCTTGCAAATTGTGATTTACATAAAAACTTAAACGGCTCTTACGGCGGTCGCCCGGTATTACGTTCATCCGTTATAAGAAAAGTACATGTATAAACCCCTGGTGAAAAAGTAGTTTTTAAATGGGCTGCCGTGCATTATGAGATCGCAAATTTTAACGGTATTGCAGTTCAAATTTATTTAGAAAACCTTTTCTTATTTCATTTTTTATGGAACGCATCAGCTTTGTACGCATCAACAAACTTTAAGGAACTCTCTATATTAAAAAGACGTAATTTAATTTAAAAATAATATTGCTTTGAAAAGCATTCGCTTTCTGAAAATAACTGTTTAATTTATATTTCATCTCGGTAAGTCTAAACATACAAACTTTGCTGCATGAATCGCCGAAAGACGAACATCCCTGTAAACTAGATTTTGAGGTTTATGGAAACGTACCATTATATTCTTTATGGCGATTATCACATCGTAAAATAATTCACATCAATTGTCCAAACAAAAAAAGCTGATCTACACAAATTTCAAATAATCACGAAGTTGGTGGTAATGCGTTAGCAAGAAAATTTGAATTTGTTCTCGCTTAATTTCTGTCAATTATTTTCAATGTTCAAACCTGTTAACCTTTTCAATACATACGATTAAAATAATTTCATATAAAACATTTTTTTATCAAGGTATTTCAACTACAAGGTTACATGATCGCTGAGAGTGCCGGTGTTAAAAAAAAAGTCCATTTGTAACCATACTGGTTCAAATTTCAGGGCCCCAGGATTTGAACCCGAGACCTTTACCTAACAGTGATGAGCTCCATATCAACGCCTTTTAACTGTAGTTGCCTCCGACATCCCTTTAAACGCTTCTTAAAGTTATTATTTATCACTTCGTAAGATAATTCTCATCAGTTGTCCAAACAAAAAAAGCTGATCTGCAAAAATTTCAAATAATCACGAAGTTGGTGGTAATGTGTTAGCAAGAAAATTTGAATTTGTTCTCGCTTAAATTCTGTCAAATATTTTCAATTTTCAAACCTGTTAACCTTTTCAATACATACGATTAAAGTAATTTCATATAAAACATTTTTTTATCAAGGTATTTCAACTACTAGGTTACATGATCGCTGAGAGTGCCGGTGTTAAAAAAAAGTCCATTTGTAACCATACTGGTTCAAATTTCAGGGCCCCAGGATTTGAACCCGGGACCTTTACCTAAAAGTGATGAGCTCCATATCAACGCCTTTTAATTGTAGTTGCCTCCGACATCCCTTTAAACGCTTCTTAATGTTTCAGTTTGGCGTTATAAAGAACGGAACCTAAATAACTTAATTAAATTAAATAACATCGGAAAGTAAATTAATCATAATAACGGCTCACTTTCATAAATCCAGCATTAGAATCATGATTGAATTAGATCCAATATTGACAAAAAATGTGTACACAGTAGATTTATTAAAACGAAGAAGTTATAATGGAGTGATGAAAGGTGTAAATGAGCCGCAGCTAGACAAAATCAATTATGAAATGATCACTAATGAACTAAATTCTAGCAACAGTTACATTTGACTTTGACACTTAGGGTGATCGATATGTGTTTGTGGCCTGTTCTTCTACATTGATCGCAATTTCGAGCATTCCGTGGTTCTTCTATTTTCTATTAAGAAATTACTCATCATACTAGTTCTCCAATCTAATTAATACCGATTAATAATAATGAAAAACAAAAAACTACAAGTGCAATTGGAATGACTGAAAAATAGATTTGAACAAACAGGAATAATAGATTCTTCAACATACACCCATGTTTTCATCATTTTTCATTTACATACCTAAGGAAAGCAAACATTTTTTCATTTTAAATCCATTACCTTTTATTTGTTTCCTTACCATCTATTTTTTCCTTTATTATTCTCGCTCACCATCACTCAATTTCCATTTGGATCTCTAATTTTCTGTTATATTTTTCAGTCCATGAATATTTGCTTTTTCTACAAGAATCTACATGTTTTTACATCTTCCATCACACCCTCGCTTTCTTATCACTCACAAACACACTCCTATCTTTATCTGTGTCTGTCTGTCTGTTTCTCTCTCTCTCCCTCTCTCTCTCTCTCTCCTCTCTCTCTCTCTCTCTCTCTCTCTACCTCTACCTCTACTTCAAACTCATACAAATGCTTTAAAAATGAATTAAAAAATAAAAAATATAAGAAATTCGTTTTCAGAAATTCAAAGATGTAGTTGAATCTGCTATGGTCACAAGAAAGTGTGCCCTTTTCTTCGTAATTTTGTTCAGTTTCTTATTTTTCGCTTTAATCTTAAATTAACTCTCTCGTATCTCTCATATGTGGATAGGGAGGGACCATTCTAGCAGGATTGGATCGACTGCTGGCCTGGTGGTGGAGAAAAAGTAAAAGAACCGGGGGGAAGGGTAGCTTTTTCCCTTTCAGCAAAGTGCGTGGTTTCTGCAAGCCGATGCCTGTGTCCTTTTAAGACAAAGTGAACTTCCTTTTTCCTTTTTCTTTTTTCCCCCTTTTTCCTTTCTCCTTTTATATTGAAAATTTTCTCCTTGTTTTTGCTCCGAAAAATATCATTTTTCGCGGAGTGAAAAAAATCAGAATTTACATTCTGTTTAATTGTGTTATTTAATCCCTTTGAT